TCTCTTATACACATCTATAATGATGTAAAAACACTTACATAAATTATAGTTATATAAATAAATTCCAGTAGATCTTTGTACTTAGGCCTATGCTAATTATTCCGAAAAAACATATTATTGTATTACAATACACAATAACATGAAAATATGAAAACTCACGGTAGACTGTTAAATTCGAGAAACCTTCTGTAAAGTTAGCTGTTGTAGTTACCCTACACAGGTAGTAGCCTGCATCCTCTACTTGAACGTTAGATATAATAAGGCTTCCATTATCACTTAAGCTGTATCTACCATTTGGTTGTGGGTTTCCAGTTATATTAGTTATAATAGAATCCCCTTGTCTAACACCATCTACATCACATTTGAACCAAACCAAGTAATCCAAATCTTCTCCTGGTTCAAGTGTGAATGTATACGTTATCAATGCATTTTCACCCAATTTTTCTGTAGCAGGATCTACTGTCACCGATCTAGACTGAGCAAAGACACCTGGAACTAAGCAAACTTTTGAATCAAATCAAATGATATTATATATGAATGTTAACAGAAAATGTAATACTATGTATCAGTCAAATATATTTAGACCTATCGTAAAATTGTTATGACATTTCACATCTTTATCTTACTAATCTATGGACATAGTTTTATATAAGTTGGAAATAATAATGCAAGTTTATCTTTAATAATCATCTAGTAATTCGTTTAGATATAGTTTTTTTTTTTATTAAGGTAGGTAACTGTTGTTTGTAGTGTGTCTTACGACAGTCATACAACTGTCGTTCGATCAATAGAACTCCGTCACTTATGGCACTAGCTGAAAGACGCGACGCCGTCTGCTGATTGACGGTGACAGTTTGAACGGATCGTCATTAAAAACGATCTGCGCGTGTGTCTTCAGTTGCGTTCTCCATAGAATTTATATATTTATTTTCCAAATGTTTATATTTGGGCACAGTGAGTGCCCGGCTTTACATACAAAAACAGAAATTTAATAATTACCAAAAATGAATACTGTACCAAAATTATAAGGCAGACAAAGTGCATTATGCGGTAATTCGTATACAATGCTTACCACTAAATATCATAGATAAGCATCGTCGGTGTAAAACGTAAAACATTGCACAAGAACGCCCTCCATATTTAATAAACATCGAGTCAACTGTCATTAATACCTGGGCAATGACATTTTCTTTAACTAAAAAAAAAATATAATGAATAAAATAAAATAAATAATGAGAATAGTAAATAAAAAGAAAAAAAATTACAGGATGATGTGTTCAGGATGGATGGGTGGATTTATTCGATGAGCACACACAGTGGTTATTCTAGTGTATAGATTCCAGGGTGTGTTTCAATATTATTAATATATTCTGTACAATACTCGGTAAATAAATGTGGTATGAAGGTGTGGCTGGAATAATGCTGAAACTCTGTAACCTATTTAGGTGAGATATTGAAGAGAAATTTAAAAGGTACAGTAATTTGCACCACCAAGATGAGAGAGTTCAAAGTTTAAAATTAATGTAAAAATCATAGTGGTAGAATATTTAAGTAGGCCTATAATTAATTTGTGCGTGCGTGGACACTCTCAGTCAATGTATTAAGCGTTGCAATTTATACGGATAGGGTCCAAACCCGTTTTATGCTGGTATTTCTACGTCAGGGGTGGCGCCAGCGGGGGCGGGGAGAGTTGCCCCTCCCCCCGCCGGGGAGAAAAACCACAATTCGTCGGGGATAAAAAAAATTATAGGCCTATGTATTTTCTACATAGGCCTATCTAGTAGACTTTAAAATCTATTAAATAAGCCTTTGAAACCCCTGAATTGTCAAAATTTTCTGGGGCTCCGCCCCCTGGACCAGTTTCTAAACATTTTCAGCGACGCTCGACCACGACCACCTTGCTCTCGTCGGGGAAATATTCCCCTTCGTGG